CCTTCGTCGACTTCATCGAATCCCGAGCACACGACAATGTTGATGCTGTCTAAATTAATTTATTTGTAAAATTTGGGCAAAAGTAAACCGATTCGAATAGCGCTGATTTCGATCAAATTGAATAATTATTGAGAGATATATTATAGTTTAAAACAGACTCATAAAACGGACACAAGTTTTGAAACAACTTAATGATAGACTGATACGCTGGTGTGTTAAACGGTATGGAATAATTCACGAAATTAACATTCTTTGACAAAATAAAAATAATCTGGGAAAATTACCATAAAGGTAAGCTTGAACAATTTTGATGAATACGTAATTGTATGATTATGGTTTTTAAGGTCCTGGTTTGCATTCATATCATTACGTTTTTGTATCCAACAATAATGAGATGTATTTAGCATTTCTTTCGCATAATAACTCTAATCGCCACTGAACGAACCAAAAATGTGAAACTCGATATTACATCATCAACCTCTACACCTTACCGTTGCCTTTTAAGGCATACGCGTACTTGAACAATTAGTGCATGCAAATTGAGGACATATCATAATAGTCATCATCTATACAATGCGGAGGAACCAAATGGGTTGAATTAATTATTTTTAGAAACGCAAAAGGGCCACCCACTTTCATTATTTGTTTCATAGAAATTCCGACTTCAATCTCAATTTAAAAGTGTAAATAACTTTTTTATATAATATACAGGGTGGGGCACCGAAAACGAAACAGATCGAATATCTTCAAAACACATTTGTTCTGAAAACAATGCAAAAACACGTCGATTTGTAATCCAAGGGGGACATCTTCCTATCATAACCTCAACTGTCATACCTCTTCCCCCACCCCTCGGTGACTATCACCCAAAAAATTTGAATAGGGAAAGTAGTAAGTGTGACACATCGTTAAAAAGGTAATTTCACTACCCAACTTTCGACTTTGGCGCCTTCTTGCGGGAAAAAAAACTGTTCCGTATTCCAAATTATGATACCTCATTCTCAAGCTAATATGACATAAATTCAGTGACTATGCATTATGGAGTTTTTCTAGGGGAAAAAACAAGATGGCGGCTTCACGATGGCTGACAAGATTTGTAATCATGGTCCGATTTGATTCAGAATTGATAAGTGGTGGTTTTCAGGGTCAGAAATAATGACTTGTTTTTCAATGCAAAAAAACAAGATGGTGGCTCCAAAATGGCGGACGAAATTTGTAATTATGGTTCGATTTAACCCGACACCGAAAACGAATTCTTCAAAACACATGTGTTGTGAACATAATGCAAAAACACGTCAATTTTAAATCCAAGGGGGACAAATCCTATCGTTACCTCAACTGTCATACTTCTCTCCCCGCCCTTGGTACTCATGCAATTTGATTAGGGAAAGTACTAAGTGTGACATATCATTGAAAAGGTAATTCCATATGAAATTCAGACATGTGAGTGTTCGCTACTTTCGTTTTCTCAATTTACATTTTATTCGAAGGGTAATGTAAACAATTCACGAAAAAAAAACAACAATTGAAAAAATTACATAATCCAATCATCGAAAACTACTGTAATTCACAGTAGATGCTCAAAGTGTTCGCCATGACCCGCCATAAATGAGTATAAGTTATTCTCGAAACGTCGTCTGACGTTTTTGAGTATTTCTGAAGTTATTTGATGACAGTCGTATCTTTGGAATAACAATTGACTTACTACGCCTATGTATTGGTATAATAAAAAACCTTGGATTTAAAATTGACGTATTTTTGCATTATGTTCACAACACATGTGTTTTGAAGAATTCGTTTTCGGTGTCGGGTTAAATCGAACCATAATCACAAATTTCGTCCGCCATTTTGGAGCCACCATCTTGATTATTCGCATTAAAAAACAATTCATAGTTTCCGACAATGAAAACCATCACCTATCAATTTTGAATCAAATCGGACCATAAATGATAATCTTGTCCGCCATTGTGAAGCCGCCATCTTGTTTTTTCTCCAAGAAAAACTTTATAATGCATTGTCACCGAATTTATGTCAAATTAGCTTGCGAATGAAGTATCATAATTTGGAATACGGAACAGTTTTTTTCCCGCAAGAAGGAGCCAAAATCGAAAGTAAGGTAGCTAAAATTGACATGGCTGAATTCCTTATGAAATTACCTTTTTAACGATGTGACACACTTACTACTTTCCCTATTCAAATTGTTTAGGTGATAGTCACCGAGAGGTGGGGGAAGAGGTATGACAGTTGAGGTTATGATAGGAAGATGTCCCCCTTGGATTACAAATCGACGTGTTTTTGCATTTTTTTCAGAACCCATGTCAATCATAGTAAACAGAAAGACACATTTCGACATATTCACATTTGATGTTATTTCCCCTATCGCACCCCCAGAGCATGTCACCAATTTTTTTAAATGGATCACCCTGTATTGTTTCGCATTATCATATGCTCCATGATTAGCAGATTTCAAAAAAGTATAAAAGCTTATGGTTCGGGAGCTAAAAATTATTTGAGTTGAAAACGAGCCACCCTAAATGAACTTCTGTATAATCTGTTACCTAGGTTTCATAGGTGTTTTTGTGAAGTATACTTCAAAAAAGTCTTATTTTTCCAAGTTAGGTTTGAATTCGATATTCTCTTCATTTTGTATTTTATAGTCTCACTGAACGGATCATGCATCTGAATTTCTTGTATAAAATTAGTTTTTCGGATGAATGTACGTTCAGTTTGAATGAAGAAGTGAATTGGCCAATTGTCGATATTGGAGTGATACGAATCCTCATTTATACCGTCAAGTTCATACCCAACGACCTCAAAAACTGATGGTTGGACATCCACTGAGTTACAGGCTCTGAGACTGGTCGAAAATACCATCGCGGAGCTGAACCGAAACAGAAAAGTTCATATCGTCCTTTTAGACATCTCGAAAGTCTTCGACCCGCGAAATTTGAACATTCGCCTTATTTTTTAACAGTCCATATTGATATAAGCAATTTGTTTTTGAATGTCTTGAATTGACCTATATTTTAGCATCCTGAAGAAGCGAGTTAAAGTCAAAATCTAAAAAGTGATAGAATTTTTTCGAACAACTTATTCAGCATAAATGTTACTAGAGTTTTATCCCAACACCAAACCGTTATTTTAACACCTCGATCACCAAGTGATTATCTTCAAGAGGAAGACTAAACTGTTTAAATTTGTTTAATATTCCTCTTGAAGATGATCACTTTGTGATCGAAACACGTGTCGAGATGTTGAAATGAAGGTTTGGTGTTGGGATCAAACTCCAGTAATATTCATTACTACAACAAAAGTTCCAAACAGTGCATCACAAGTTATACGGCATAGTTTTCAGTAAATTAATATTGAAAGCAAGAAATCCTACCTGGTCTAAATGGAGAGCGTTGATTTGCAATTTCCTTGCGTACGATTTTGACCAATCTATGGGAAGTATATTGCCGAAATTTCCTGTCAGTGTCCACCACATTCTGAAAAAAATAAAAACATTTCAACTCACCATATACTTACAAACGCTTCTTTGCTGTTTGCTCAAAAAAGAGTTAGAACATGTTACTTTTCTCCCAAAATCAGTCAACATAGATCTTTATGATCATAATATATTACAAGGAGAAATTGATTAAGTCATATCCCATGACATGCATAATAAAAACTTTTCTTTAGTCAGACCGTTTCTTGCACACAGCGTAAAATAAAACTTTTGAAAACACTTTTTCCACAGCACAGTTAGATTAGGTTAGGTTAGGTTAGAGTGGATCTATTCGAACCTCCACCACAATCCGCAAGGGTTTATTGTGCCTCATACCTATTCACACTCGACCAAATGAACCCAGCTTCTTAACGAAGCCGATTAGTTTGTATGGTGAGTGGTCTTTCAGGTCAGATGGTAGGAGTACGGCTCTGCCGAACTCCAAAAACCTGATTCGGTCCCCCGACAGTCCGAGTATCTGCATATAATGATTCAAATGGCAGTGACCTGTTAGACATCGTAGTTCATCCCTACTGTAGTCCAACAACTGTTTGGTATCAAGCTTCGAAGGGTGAATAAACGCCTTGAAGTGAGCCAATCCTGAAAGACTGTGCCAGAAGTCCATAAATCTTCTTGGCGTCCAGGTGTTAAATGTTTCTTTGGCAAAGCCTAAAGCGATGCCAATGACAGGCAATGAGGTAGGTTCCTAGGCAGGTTGATATCTCTGTCCTGGGACTGCGACTGAAAATACTTGCACCAGAACCGAAAGGTATTTTTGGTCCATCTGTGAACCAACAACTATCTGCTCTTAATATTTCTTTCTCCCGAAGGATCCAGTCCTCTCTACTCGGAAATAGTACTTTACGAGGCAGTTCGTAGTTGACAGTTGAGAGGCATAAAGTCAGAAGTCATTTCCAGAATGCTGTGACTTCCAATGTCAATCAACAGTTTGTTGCACTCTGCATTAAATTGATTTTTGCAATTGGCAATATGCACAAGTCTATATGCAGTCCATCTAGCCTCTCTCTCTAGAAAAATGTGATGGAGGTAGATCTAGAAAGATATCCATGGCCGCTGACGATGTGGTACTGATGGCACCACTGATGGCCAGACAGTAAGCCAGAGAGCTTCGCCTGGACCGTTTTCTTAAAAGCCTTCGGCCACCAGGCAATTACACCATAAGTGATCATTGATCTGACAATCATCACATAAATCTAATGCATTTGTTTGGGACCTGAACTTTTTACCACAAATCCTTCGACATGTCCATAGGGACAGTCTGGCTTTGTGTAAAACTTTTTCCAAGCGAGCGTTCCAGGTGAGTTTTTTAATCAAGGACAATGACAAGATATTTCACCTCCATTCCGAATGGAATGCCCTCGCCGTTGACGGAAAGTGGCGTTAGACCGTCCAATTTTATCCTCCTGGTGAAGGGGATTATCATAATTTTGCTGGGGTAGACAGACATCTGCTTCCTCAGGCACCAACTGTGAACAACGTCCAACGTGTATATGGTAGGTAGGTCTAAAGTGAGTGGGTCTATTCGACCCTCCACCGCAACCCACAAGGGTTTATTGTGGCTCACACCTATTCACACTCGGTCAAATAAACCCAGCTTCTTAACGAAGCCGATTAGTTTGTATGGTGAGTTGTCTTTCAGGTCAGATGGTGAGAGTACGGATCTGCCGAACTCAAAGAACCTGATTCGGTCCCCAGCGGGGCAGGCACAATGTATATGCTCTGCTGTTTCATCATTTTCCAGGCAGAGGCGACACACACTGTCTTCCGAGAGTCTAAGTCTCTGCATATGATGATTCAAATGACAAATGACAGTGACCTGTAAGAAGGTCTGTTAGACATCGTAGTTCATCCCTACTGTAGTCCAACAACTGTTTGGAATCAAGCTTCGAAGGGTAAATAATCGCCTTGGAGTGAGCCAATCCTGGTAGATTCTGCCAAAAGTCCATAAATTGTATCGCCATCCAGGTGTTCAGTGTTTATTTGGCAGAGCCCAAAGCGATGCCAATGACAGGTTCTGGTACAATAAAGCCACTTGCAGCACCCTCCTTTGCAAGAGAGTCAGCAGCTTCATTGCGTTTCAGACCAGTATGGCCAGGAATCCAGACCAGAGACAATCTGTCAAGTCTTTCTATCGAGGAGAGTCGTTTTTGGCAGTTTGCTACCAATTTAGACGTTGCTCGGTAGGAGCCAAGAGCTTCCAACGCCGCTTGACTGTTCTAGAATATTTTTATTGACTTGTGTGTGAGGTTGGATTTATCCAATACCTTGTGTATAGCTACGATACAACATACCTCGATACTGTAGAATAAATATTTATTGAAATATGACGCTACAACAACACAAGGCATTCAAACGGAAAAAACTTTTGAAACAATCATACACAAGTACTTTCTGTTCCGACAAAAACCGTTTATTCAAATGGTGAACCACCACTGTGAAAAATGTGTTGTTTATCATTCTAGAAACAAACTGACAACCCGCGTATAAATTCTTCTGTGACATTGAGAATTAGGACACCAAGCCATAACGAATTAAAAGAGCAATTCGCTGTGATCATTGTGATAAAACCGGCAAAGTCAAGTGTTCCATTTCGCTCCAGATGTGTTTGTAATTCATCCAATTAAACCGTAATTCTTCATCATAATCAGGAAGCCAAATTAGTCACCAGTTGATGCGACAGAATGGGGTCCTCACAAATGTGATGGGTGAATTTTCGATAACTGAATTGACCAAATAATTCAATTTGGAGAAGCTTTTATGAAACAATGTAAATCTCTTTTTTTTTATTCCGAAAGTGACTGAAAAGATACGTATCCAACTGTAAAATTTAGATTTAATCTTCAGAATATGTATGAAGTTATAGCATTTCGAAATCTCATATCGAATACAAAAACAGAAAAATGAAAGAATATAAGGTAAAATTGTATGATTTTACCTCAGAACATGAAACAGAACAGAAAAAATGCTAATGGTAGGCTAAAGATAGAAATAGAGAGGACGGGAGGGCTAGCAGAAGATCAGTTTGGCTTTCAAGAAGGGACTATCAAACACGGATGCACTAGAAAGGGTGGCGGAAATAGCAAAGAAAGCTAGAAATTGTCCATATCATAAAAGTAAATTATGCTATCGACGTACAGAATGCTTTCACAGCATCGTAGAGCGTTGCTGTATAGAAGAAATACCACTCCTAACCTCCTCAAAATGCTAATAAGCTATTTCGAAGAGAGATGTCTCACGATAGAAGATAAAACAACAATAGCAGGAGAGCCCACGCTGCAAAATGGGGATTTACTCGNTATCCCTCACAGGCGGCCTTATATATGGGGCTCATATTTGGTGGAGGTACTTAACCGGGTACAATGTATCCCCTGTATATTAATCTGCCGCGCTTTAGTAAATCCCGAAATCCCCGCTTGGGCTCCCCTATTACAATGACTATAACCTGTAGGGTACCGCAGCATTCAAGCATTCAGTATGGGGACCCACTCTATGGAACCTCTACTATGATGGCATTTTCAGTATTCAAGGTCCAGATGGAGTAAAGATGGACTGGGGAAAATGTGCAAATGATAGTAAATCAGACCCTACAAAATATCGCAGAATGGCTCCATCACAAGCAGCTAAGGCAGGCTCCACAGAAATCGGAGGCCTTCTGCTGGTGGCAGAAAATAAAATCAAGACCATTCACCTAGAAATTGAGGATATCGATGTAGAGAGTCAGCAAAACGTGAGATACCTAGGAATGCTGCTGTACAAAAATATGACAATGAGGACACATGTAAGGCAAACAGCGGAAAAACTAATAAAGCTTTAGCGGCGATAGAGAGGCTGATGCCAAAGACAAGAGATCCGAGAGAGGCTACAAAAAGAATTCTCTGTTCAGTAGCACACCCAATTATGTTGTATGCAGCACCAATTTGGCACAAAGCCCTACAGAGAGAGGTTCACCGAAAAGTTTTGCCACGTACCCAGCGTCGGACAAAAATATATTTTGTTGGGGCATACACAACTGCATCCAATAGGGCAGTTCTAGTTGTAAGCACGAATCCTCCCAACAAGTAGCAGAAGAGAGGACAACCTAGAAGTGCAGTGCATTAACGAATATGCTAGAAAGATGGCAGGAATGGTGGCAAGAGAAAGAAGACGCGGGGCTGTGGATAAGCAGACTCGTTCCGGACATAGCTCCCTAGGTTACGAGAAAGCATGATGATCTTACTTATCACCAGCTGCTGGTAGGCGCTGTAAGCCATAGCGTGGCATGAATTTCGTCTGGAGAAGAGAACACTGTCGAACAAACATTTCTCACCAGTATGAGATGGCGAGAAGTGGAAGCACTTGAGGATAGTATTATGAATAAGATGCTGGAGGACGAAGAAACATGGACTGAGCTAAGATACCTAGCCATTTTTAACGACAAAACACAAGCAATACAGAAAAATCCTTGAGGCGCTCTAAGTGCGGTGCCTGTGCGAAAGTATCAATTCATATTGGATTTGAATCGCTGGAGATTGAATTAACTTGGAAACACGTCCCCGGAAAGTTTATTCCACATAAACGCAGTTCTCCAAATAAAAAGTTCTTGAACAGTGAAGTTCGAGGTGTATTGAGTTGAACCTTGAAACGATGAGCAGTCACAGTCCGTATTTCTGATATGTACCGCTCTTGGTAGAAGCAAATGTGCTAAGTCAATTGAACACCTCCCGTGAAATTATTCTATAATTGGGGAGCAGTCATAAGTAAGATAATCAAAAATGATGCTCTCAAAAACTTTAGGGATTGCGCTAAGAATAGAAATTGGACGATAATTACACACGTAGGATTTTCGATTAAGAGTGACAAATCTCTAACCTTTCTTCAATGTTCCAGACTATCAAGGTTGCGAGTGATGTTTTTGCTTTTGAGAAGCAGCCTTTGCAATTCCAGCGACATGATTGTGCCAAGACATACTGGAGTCCATTTTAACCTTCAACAAACTTATCG